TCCTCTGATCAGGATTTTGTTTCTGGTCTCTAGAAGCAGCAGCAGCCTTGTAGTCGTGGTCTGGCAGCGTTTTCACTCAGTTTTTACTGCAATGTGAAGCCCTGCACCTTTATGTGACACCTTTATAACGCCGTGAATCATTTTATTTGATAATTTATTGTGCAAAAATTGGAACTAAATTTTAGAAGTACATTTGTGGCTCTACAAAGGATAGATATAGAACTACTTACTTCTTAAACTGCTCTGTGTAAACACAGCCTGCAGTTCAGCCGAGAATTTACAGATTTTTTGCCTCGTGGCCGCTCGTCACAGCTCAGTCACTGAGAGCTTAACGGTTGCACAAAGGAGAGCAGAATTTTTTGTTTTTTACTGAATCCATTTAGTGCAAATTGTCTATTTTTGGCGAATTTTTCAATCGCATGTGTAAAATAAAGTGATTCTGACGAAATAAAAAAAATTAAATTAAATTAAATTAAATTAAATTAAATTAAATCGCAGGATTCTTGCGCCTCGACTGTCGGTTGCAGCTGAGTCGCTGATGACGTCACAGTTGCGCCGATAAGAGCAGAATTTTCTGTTTTTTATAGAATCTGTTTGGTGCAAATGGTTTATTTTTGGTGAATTTTTGAATTGCACGTGTAGAATAAATTGATTTTAACAAAATATCTTGATTTTAAGCTTAAAAAGTGATGAATCCACATGTTAAAGATATTTTACTATTTGTGTTGTTAATTGATTATTTTAATATATTATTTATTTACAAGTTATACCAATACAAAATAAGAACTGGTACAGGAGTTTGATTTACAGTTTTAATTTCCAGACTCTCTGGACACAGCCTGCAGTTCAACCCGAAAACTCGCAAACTTTTGCTCCTCGACTGTCGGTTACATCTGAGTCAGTGATAGCTTCACAGTTGCGCCGATACGAGCATAATTGTAATTTTTTTTACAGAATCCGTTTGGAGCAAATGGTTTATTTTTGGTGAATTTTTGAATCTCACATGTAGAATAAAGTGATTCTGACGAAATTAAAAATAATAATAATAAAAAATAATAATTAGTGAAAAAAACTTTCAGATTTTTTTCTCCTCGACTGTCGGTTGCATCTGAGTCACTGAGAGCTTCACAGTTACGCCGATACGAGAGACAGATAAAAACTCAGACGGCTCACCTTGAAAACTCAACTCATTCTTTTATATGACAAACCTCAAAGTGTCTCGTGAGGTTTTTTTTGTTAAATATTAGTTTTGTTGATGATTTATTGTCTTTATGGTGGAGCTTCATCTCTGTTCAGACTTTATCTCCGTCAGTGTGGGCGATGGGTTCAGTCCAACGCTGAAGTTTTGAGCATTAAACACTTGAGTTCCTGCATTCTGGAGATTTTTCTTTTATAGAATCATTTGTGGGTTTTCTGCATCAGGTCATGTCTGGAAATTAGAACAACGAGTTCAGCGTTAGAGTGAAAGATAAAAGTGAAGCTGTGAAGCGTTCTGACGGCGTTTATTTGAAACAGAAACAGAAAAGCTCCAACGTGATGATGTGAAGTCTGACCTCGTGGTTTGTTCTCTGTTCCAGGCCGAGCACCGGACCATGGCCGTCTTCATCCTGGCCGTCATCGTCAACAGCTACAACACGGGACAGGTGAGGGCAGGTTTCACTACGTCTGTTTGTCTCCGTCCTCAGTTTACCTCAAACCGTCGGAGCTTTAGGACAGTTTTTTT